AGAATAATCAAGTCGGACGGCCCACGGGGGCGAACGGCATAGACGACCTCGAAGGGCGAAAGGCCCGTGGCCCGACTCACGGCCGAGTTGTGAGCGAACTCGGCCTGACTCAACCGCTGGTCCCAGCTGCGGAGGTTATCGCCCACCAAACAACGAAGTAAGTTGCCAAGGGAGCGGTTCACCACCTCGGTTTGGCCATCGGTCTGTGGGTGATAAGCACTGCTAAAATCCAGGCTGGTATTCGCCATGCGCCATAAGCTACGCCAGAAGTGACTCAAAAAACGAGTGTCACGATCAGAAACAATCGAGGACGGAAGGCCATGCAGGCGGTAAACCTCCCTGAAGAAAAGCTGAGCCACATGAACCGCATCCGTGGTGCGCTTACACGGTATAAAGTGCACCATCTTAGAAAAGCGATCAACCACCACAAAGATTGAGTCCGAGCCCCGCTGTGTACGAGGCAGACCCAATACAAAATCCATACTAACTGCACTCCATGGCTGTGAAGGAATAGGCAAAGGGCGGTACAAACCCGCATTAGAAGCAACCCCCTTCGCGACATGACAAACCCGACAACGTTCCACAAAACGCGCCACATCACGCTGCAGCGTAGGCCAAAAATAGGAGCGGCGAACGAGCGCCACCGATCGGTCCCGGCCCACATGACCAGCACCATGGAGGTCAGAAATCAGCTTGAGGCGAAGACTACAGTCGGGGATGCATAGGCGAAGACCACGAAATAGAAACCCATCAGCTAGAGTATAGTCCTCAAAAGGGCCCGTCTCAAGGCGGCGCACAATCGGGCCAAAAAAAAGATCATCAACATAAACCTCCCGCAAGATATCGAACCCCACAACAGTAGTACGCATATCAGACAACAACAATGTACGCCGACTCAAGGCATCGGCCACCTTGTTCGACGCACCAGATCGATGTCGAAGGACAAAAGTAAATTGCTGCAGAAAAGCTGTCCAAGAAGCATGTCGAGTAGAGATAGTATCCTGAGATGCCAAATGACGTAAAGCCTCGTGGTCCGTGAAGAGAATGAACTCCCTATGGAAAAGATAGTGGCGCCAATGCCGGACGGCCTGAACGATCGCATAAAACTCGACATCGTAGGTACTATACCGCAATCGTGGTCCAGACAACTTCTCACTAAAATACGAGACCGGCCTGCCGTCCTGACTGAGGACAGCTCCAATCCCCACCTTGGATGCATCACAAGAGAGTTCGAACGGTCTCGAAAAATCAGGTAAAACGAGAACAGGGGCCGAAGTCAATCTGTCCTTTATCATGGAAAAGGCAGTCTCAGCCTCCGGGGTCCACACAAAAGACTTGCCCGAAAGGCAATCGGTAATGGGTGCGGTGATAGTACTGAAATGCAAGATGAAGCGGCGATAGAAGGAGGCAAGGCCATGAAAGCTACGTGCCTCAGAGAAAGAGGTAGGTGACGGCCAGTCACGAATAGCTGTCACCTTACCCTCGTCAACACGGATGCCCTCACGTGAGATCACAAAGCCCAAAAAGAGAACAGACTCCACCAAGAAGCAGCATTTACGAGGAGCAGCAAAAAAAGACTCGGCACGTAAAATAAGAAGTACCTCACGGACGTGTATCAAATGCTCCTCCAGTGTGCGGCTGTAAATGAGAATATCGTCGAAATAAACGACTACACTCTTGCCAATAAGGTCCCGAAGAGCCTGGTTCATCACACGCATAAAAGTGCTCGGCGCATTAGATAACCCGAATGGCATGACCAACCACTCGAAAAGGCCCTTCCCGAATCTTAAAGGCCGTCTTCCACTCGTCGCCGGGCCTGATCCAAATCTGATGGTAACCGCTACGGAGATCCAATTTGGTAAAGATGGTGGCCCCGTGCAGTTGGTCTAATAAGTCATCCAACCGAGGTATGGGGAATCGGTAACGGACCGTGATCTTATTAATAGCCCGGCTATCAACGCACATGCGCCAGGAGCTGTCCTTCTTGGGAACCAAAAGGGCCGGAACAGCACACGGGCTCAGGCTCCTACGAACCAATCCACGGTGTAGTAATTCCTTCACCTGTCGTCGTAACTCTTCATGTTCGGTTGGGCTCATACGGTAGTGTGGCCTGTTCGGCAGCGAAGCCCCGGGAACCAGATCAATGTGGTGCTGAATGTCCCGTAGAGGCGGTAGCCCGGAAGGAAGGTCTGTAGGGAAAACATCAGCAAACTCCGAAAGCAACGGCTGGATAGAAGGAGGCGGTTCGCGCTCAACTGCCGCGTCTGCACCCACTAGTAACAGAACAAACGGTGCCGACTGCACTGCCACCCCAAAGGCGGCCCGGGATATAAAAAGGACAGTCGAAGGAGTCGAAGATGGCGTAGGACGATGAAGACTCGGGTGTAGTGTGACCCGGATACCGGCGAAGTTGAAGCTGTAAGTATTAAGCCTGTCGTCGTGAGTGGCATTCATGTCATATTGCCACGGGCGACCGAGAAGTAAATGGCACGCATCCATAGGAACAACATCACACCATACTTTGTCCCGGTAAGTCCCACCAATAGCTAAAGAAACCAAAACTCGACGGTCAACTGTAATAGCACGGTCCCGGTGAATCCAAGCCAAAGTGTAAGGGTGAGGGTGTGGCTCGCTCGACAGTCCCAACTTATCAACTGCCTCCTGTGCAATAACATTCTCGCAAGAACCAGAGTCAATAATAAAACGGCATACCTTGTCGCCAATGGTGCAGGTAGACTCAAAAATGTGATGGCGTTCGATGGCCCCCTCAACAGGGGACCGAGGTGTCAAACATGTACGACGAAGAACCAAAGCGGTACCCACGTCCCCTCGATGGTGTTCCTCGGCTACACCAGGCTCGACATCGAAAACCGGGGGTCCCTCGTAATCCGCGGTCTCCACATACTCCCCGTCATCCTCTAGAAATAATTCCCGCGAACTCGAGCCTCGCGGGCATGCCGACTGTCTGTGCCCGAGCTCCCCACAACCAAAACACCGCATACCCCCTCCCGTGCGCTGGCCCGGCGCTATCCCTGCCTGGCGTTGTTATCCACCCTCCGAATGTGGAAACCTCCCGATGGCTGCAGACTGTCCCGCTCCGACGACCGTTGTTGGAGCTGTCCGGCCCGGCGCCGGGGTCCCGCCAAATGATAAACCGGGCCTCGTGGATGGGGCAAAAGAAGTACCCGGCTTGCGAGCCAGCTGTTGTTCAACAAGTCGGGCACGTTGATGTGCATCCGAGACAGATTCGAGCCTGATAAGATTTAACATATCCCGAATAGCAACACGCAAACCACTAACATATCGAGAAATCAATTGGGACTTAGTCTCCCGCACTGCCACACGATTCAAAAGCTGGTAGAACTCGTTCGTATAGTCATCAACCGAACGAGTGCCCTGTCTCACATTATGCAATTGCTGGTATACGACACTATCATAATTGAAACGTAAGTACTCATCCTCCACATACTTACGAAATTTCACCCAGGAAATAGTCGGAGACTTCCCCTGACGATGTCGCATGCTCGTAATGTTCATCCACCAAGTTGCCGCTCGACCACGGAATCGAGTAGCGACAAACGCGACACGCTTGTCCTCCGGGATCGCCTTAAATGCCAGCACAGCTTCAACGGAGGCCCACCAATCGATGAAATCACCAGGCTCGACACCACCGTGAAACTCCGGAATGTCAACCCGCAGCCCGGCTTCCCAACGTGAGTCCCCGCCACCATCAATCGGGCGCCGACCCTCACGCCGCTGCTGCCACGGCTCCTCCCAACCTCCGCCATCACCAAATCGCCCTCTCCGATGGAAACCTGCGTCTGCGTCAGGCCTACGGTCACGGCGACCGTCACCCAGGTCCGCCTCCCACACCTCGTCGTCCAGTCGACGGTCATCACGCTGGAAGAAGTCATCGTCCTCCTCGTGACCAGCAGCCCGCCATTGTCCTCGTTCGCGGCGTCCCTGGCCTCCATCTCGCCCCTCCTGGTCAAATCGTGGCCCGTCGTCATCACGATTGAGAAACCCTAATCCGCCGTCACGAACAGCAGGGCGGCGACCCTGCCAATTGTCGTCATGGGCGAACGGATTGTCAACCGTCAAGGTGTCATCAGAGTCCACGCCGGTATACGAAGGTTGTGGTGGTCGCCGGCGGGGCGCCCCGCCAAAGCCACGACCGCCCCGACCCCCGCGCAGCCCCTCGCGAGTGCCCCGGTCAGCCACATCGCGATTTCGACGCATCTCATCCATCATGGTGCGCATCGTCAGTCGTAGTTCCTCGAAGCCCGTCGAAAGATCCGTAAATCGTTCATCAAAACTGTTGAATCGCTCATCAATTCCCTGAAATCGTTCATCAACGGAGTTGTCGATCACGGCTTTGTCCTTCTTAGGCGGCATCGTGGATCGTCGGCTGGTCTGCTGATACCAACTGATGTAGAGGATGTATGCGATAGGGGAAAGAACACAATTTCACGAGAGAACAAATATTTTATTTTTCACGATAAACTGCCGTCTTTCTTCTGTTCCCAGTACATAAATAAGGAGTTTCCACTAACTCCACTAAAAACATGATAAATCCTAATAATTAAAGAAACACCCCCCTTATTAATAAAAATAACACAACTGCAACTACTAAAATAAATAACCCAAAAGGAAAATAAAGCAATAAAATAAATATGCTAAACACGCAAACGGTCATATTTCTGCAAGAATAGCAACGCGGCCTCGTCTCCATCACAAACTCCCTTTACTATTGAAGCCTCGATGATGACGCGTGTGGTTCTGACCGTTTCAACCATATCCGACAAACAAATCCGTCCATTTCAATGGTGGAATAATTTTTTTCAACGGTGCAATGGTGTTGGACTTTTGACTTGAAGTTGAGTGCCCTCATTCATAACTTTCCCCACTATTATATATATTCTTGCATACAATCCTCTTATTCCCAACCACAAGACAGTCACACAAACACACATATAGTGGTGGCATATATGCATTTAGCAATGGGGACCGCCGACACACTAATTTCCACCACCACACTTCACTTCTTACTACTTCTCTGCGCTTCCTCCCTCTCTAACTCTCAACCTCTCCAACCAGTAGTAGTCAAAGCCGGGTACTACCCTTCCTGGGCCCGTAACATGGGCCCGAACGAAATTGACACCACCTATTACACCCACATCTTCTACGCATTCGTTGTCCCCAACAACCTGACCTTCACATTTGACAACATCGGGCCCCAGCAGAAGGCCTCCCTCCGCAACTTCACTTCGGCCCTCCGCGCCAAGAACCCCCCCGTGGGCCCACTCTTCTCCATCGGGGGCGGGGGTGCGGACCCCACGCTGTTCTCCCGCATGGGCTCAGCCCCGTCCACCCGCAAAGCCTTCATCGACTCGGCCATATCTCTCGCGCGGGACTACGGCTTCTGCGGGATGGACCTCGACTACGAGTTCCCCCGGAACGCGTCCGACATGGACAACCTCGGCCTCTTGCTCCGGGAGTGGCGCAAGGCGGTCGAGCGCGAGTCCAAACGGACAGGAAAGCCGCGGCTCCTCATCACGGCTGCCGTGTACTATGCGGCCGACATGACGTTGTCCGGTGCCCCGCGCTCCTACCCTGCCCGCGCCATCCAGGAGAGCCTCGATTGGGTGAACATGATGGACTATGACTACCACGGGTCGTGGGAACCGAGCGTCACCGGGGCCCACGCGCAGCTGTACGACCCGTCCGGGAGGAACCTAAGCACGAGCTACGGGGTCGAGTCGTGGATGAAGGCAGGGGTGGCGGCGCGCAAGCTGGTGATGGGGTTGCCGATGTACGGGAGGACGTGGAAGCTCGAGTCGGCCAACCAGACGGGGATTGGGGCGCCTGCCGTGGGGGTGGGGCTAGGGGACGAGGGCACGATGACGTACGGCCAGATCGTGAATCTGAATGCCACCGAGGTGTACGACAGCAAGACTGTGTCCGCATACTCGGTGTCGGGTCTGAATTGGATCGGGTACGATAATGTCCGCGCGGTCGCCGTAAAGGTTAACTTCGCCAACAAACTTAAGCTGCGCGGCCACTTCTTCTGGGCTGTTAATGGCGACTACCACTGGAGACTTTCTAAGGCGGGTCAGTATTTTCTAAACCTATTTGGTCTTCTCTAATTTTCTGTACAAATTTTATTTATTTATTTATTTTTATTTTTATTTTTTTGGGCAGTTTCGGAAGCATGGATTTCCAGGGACAACATAGGACAGTAGTAATAATACCTTAATTCCGGGTCGTCACATGCATCTTTAATTTGTAGTTGTCAATTTTCAAATTTTGCGGCAGACCAGACCATTTAGGCGACCAACTCTCCAATCAGGTTTCAGTTCTTGGCTTCCCTTCCCCTGGTATGGGAGCTTGGCTCGAGCACGATTTTATCGGGGTCTCTTATCCGGTCAAGTTATAGCTTAATCATCAGGTCTTCGACCTTTTTCGTTGTACCAAAAAAAATAAAAATAAAAAACTAACGAGGAAATCCATGGCCCGAAAAAAATGAATCAAAAAGGATTTAAGGGTCATAAGGGTTATGGGTTGTCTTTATCATCAGGTCTTATGTTCCTTGTTCCATAGTTATGGGTTGTCTTTAAATCAGGTGTCTTCATTAATGTAGTATCTGTTCATCAGTATTTCCCATCTGTTTCCAAAGTGATCAAAATTGCCGTAGCAAAGCTTCCCTACTCTGTTTCCAAACAAGACTAACAAGGCCGTTAATAATTTATTCATACAGAAAAAGTCAAATTAATTGGTGTAGACAAAAACAAATTAACTGTATTAAAACTCATTCTTGTGTGGACTTGGACACACAAAATTTCCAGACAAGAGATCTCACAATTAGATCTCAGAATGTGAGCGAACAATAAATTAACATAACACCAACGAGGCTAACAACAAGTTAAAAAAAAAAAAAAAAAAGAGCACAAAAAATGGACTAAATAGTAAATTAAGGTGACTACATAATTTTGATTATTTATGGTTCCCTCAACTTCAAAACCTTTGATTAATGGTGGTGAAAGAGTACATTTTTGAGAAACTTTAGAATTTCACATCTATGTACAATTATGAGAAAGTAATAGAATATAAATAAGTTGTTATTTGCCTTTCCTATTCCTTTTAGTATTAAAAGTGTCAAAGTTATGTAAAGTTGCAAAAGCAACTTTAGTGTTAGCAAATTAGTATAAATAGTCTTTACCAAACATTGTATTAGTTTTTTTTTTCTTTTTTTTTTTTTTTTTTTTTTTTT